ATATTAAGAGAATAGATTATACATTTAATATTATGTTACCGTGTTAGATTTAGGATTTCTTAATCAGTGGATCACTTAAGCCTATATAAAGGCTCCTTTTGTGACAGTTTAATATATGACAATATAATAGAATAATAGCAATTCAATATGCATTTCTTCCAGTTTTCTCTCCTAGCTTTTCCATGTTTGATTCCTAACACTTTTCAAGACATCAGAACCAGCCTCAGTCCACCCATTTGGTCCTTATTCAAGCATTTTCTTAATGTAGTTTTCAAACCATATTCTTCCAAGTGAGTAAATAATTTTCACCTTAATTTTATATATCCTTTTTATTTTTCCTGGATTGTTCAGAAAGGAAGCACTGTATTACCTCCTTAAAGAAGAAACAACATCAATAGGAGTTCCAGACTCAACACTTTGCCTCCATGCTTTGTCCAGCTCCTCTGCAAGTTGATAACTATCCTACAAAGATTCAATAAATGATCCGGAAAAGTTTTTAGTTCATCCACGATGTGGTTCTTTTCACATAAAATATCTCCACACACTCGTGAGTATTTGAAACAAAATGTGGCACATAGCATTGTTCATTAATCATCACAATATATATGATTCTACCAACATCTGGATGTCAAATGGAAACAAAATATTATAACTTTTAAGCGGAAAAAAGCCAACACTTAGTGATCCTGAAATTGCTAAAAGCCTAAAATTACAGAAGAGGATGAACAGAATAATTTGACAATTTAGAGTAATTCAAAGTCTACCTCAATGGCCATGCATCCCCCTTGACTCATATTTGGCTGCATGGCATGTACAGAATCCCCAAGCAACGTTACATGCCCTCTTCCCCAAGTGCATGTGGGCGTCAAGTCATATATATCACGTCGAAGAATTGCATCTTCATCACTGGCAATTATCAAATCTATCACATAATCACACCAACCTTCAAATATTTTCAGCAACCTTTCCTTTTTACCTGCAAAAAGAAGTGAAGACCATTAGAATATACCAGACCTACTTGTTTATGATCAACCTAAATCCTTGGGCTGTATTCTGTCTGCAGTCTGTTAAGCTTTCTTGAAATGATAGCACAGCCAACACATAAATTTTAGGAAAATTAAGTAACAGCGTGGCATATGACTAAACATTTAAAAACATGAGAATTTATTTTCTTCAAGCTTCTTCAAGTGGAGCACTTTCAACTTGTGTGATAAAGAAACCTTATCATGTTAAATCTAGATATTCAGTAGAGTGCCTACCATGGGGGCTATCCACACCACCAGGTGGTTCCTTGTGAAAAGCATACCACTGCATCTTTCCAGCAACAACATCTGAGGAAACAAAGTATTGCTTGTGTCCCAAAAGTACACGGAACCTTCAAGAAAATTACTATATAAGAATCCATGTAGAACAAAGACCAAGAATTCAAAGCAGATAACATATGGCATGAAAAAGTCATAAAAAATGGAGTAGTTAATATGTAACAAAAGAGAAAGGAAACATACCCAACAGACTCAATATCAGCTGGCACAAAATCTGCAATACCAGAATAACAAGTGTACCCCAAGTATACAGCTTCTTGTGGCCCAAATAAGCTCTGCCTCACCTGAAAAAGAATATAAGGAAACCACAACCAGATGGTTTCTTCAAATATTAAAACAATCAGACTTGCTATTGATGGAAACATTAATTTCATTTAGACAATGATTTCATTGAAAAGGTGTCAGAAGAATGACAGTGAATCTCACCCAACTTTAAAATCTAGGTCTAGTAACACATTAGGCAAAAAAATAACCTAGGGCTAGTTTAATTTTCATTTTTTTTTTATATAAAGACAAGCTATTTAGCCCCATTGTAGGTCTACAAACAGTTCCATTTGATTTAAATTTCCTTATTAAACTGCTTATCATACTATCATAGCACTATAGCAGAAGGGTCATAGTTTTTATTTTAACTTCAATCCAGAGTCTCAACAGAGAGAGAGAGAGTTCCCGCATATGCATAACCAATATAGAGTGGTACCTTGGACTGTATTCCATCAGCTCCAACTAAGAGATCACCTTCATATTGTTTTCCATTTTCAAGCATCACAGTAACCTGAATTTTTTAATAAAATGGAACAAATGTAAACTAAAAGTACACAAAACAAAAACATAATCCAGGAAATTAACCACTTTGCTAGGTGCATAAAGAAACAGATTACCATGTACCCAAAAAAGAAAGAAAGAAAGAAAGAAAGAAAGAAATAGATTCATACTAGATTTGATCTATTTTCCAAGAGAGCATCGTGACCAGTAGGAGATGACTTTTCACCTATTATTAGCTCATATTACCTTATGTCCATGATCCTCAAATCCAACAACATAGCTTTTGTTAAAAATTACATCTTCCCCTACTGCAGAAGCCAAGATTTGTAGCAAAGTCATTCTGCTAATAATTCTTTTAAGTGGAAGCCCCATTTGTACTGCAGGGGTGAATATATCCATCTTGACATACCTGTTAATTATATGATAAGCAATATTCTATTAATCCAAGACTGATAAAAAATAAATAAAATCATAGTCACTCAAAGTTTTGTTAACAGAAAGGATTTCTTACTTCAAAGTTCTACACTGTAGAT